TAATTTCTTCTACAACAGACTGTCAAACTTAATAGGTCATAGCACAACTTCTGAATATGGTGATGGAACATCTTTATTTTGACTTTTATAATACGGTTGTGGGGCTGGTGTGACTGAATGACACTGATCTACATCTGCAATATTTATAATCTGATTAACCTGTTTTGAAGGGAAATACTCATAGTTCTTCCTTGTTGGACACATAAATTTATTTTAACAAATAATATCCAAATTCTTCAAAGTAGTTATGCAAGAATCATATACAAATAAAATGCCTTTTTTGCTTCTGCTGTAAGATGTCCAGAGAGCTTTTTGTTGTTTAATTGAGTAAACCTCACAAGTATTTTGCTAGTCCACTTTTTCCTGGCAATTACTTGCACAAGTAATTAAATCTTTGTCAAATTATAAATGAAAAGGCCGTATTTATTCAAATGATTACTGATAACATTTGTTCATAACTATCAGGGCCTTAATACTCTCTAGAATATCCTGCAATATTGTAGGCTGGAATTAGTTGCAGTCCTTAAATAGTTTCCAGTTATTTTTGTTTCTTACAGAAAGCATCTGTCTTTTTAAAAAGAAAAAAAGAAGAAGAGGGAAAAAAAGGAGGATCTCATTTGTTATTCTGTCATTAGGTAACCCTGACAGTAGGCAGAATGTGTTCTAAAAGCTTGCATTGTATTATTGATGTTCAGATACTGGAATTTGACAGATTAATCAGATACAACAAAGAATTAACATCAAAAAATACTGTGTGAGATAAGGACTTTTTAAACTCAGATACAAGGCACATAATGAATAGGTTCAAGTTCATGCCTTCAGAACAGACAACAGTTATGTGGCTTTAACATAAACTAAACAGATGATGAGGATTGCACTGGTTATTTAACAGGAGATAAGAAGAAAACCGTTGGATATAAATACTATAAGCTGCAAACAGACACAAGAAAAGACAGTTATGTGGCCTTAAAAATTAATTTTTGAGGCATAAAATGGACATTTTCTCCTTTCTTTACATATATCAAAAACTGCCTCTACAGGAGCATTCTCCAAAATTGTAGGCCAAAATTGTCCATTGCATTTCGCTGTGAAGATGCAAGACATGAGCTCCCAGAGGTAGAATCTCTGCTTATCCTTGATGCTGAGACTGAGCAAGAGGAAAACTAGTAATGTAGGGGAGGGAGCATGGGAGCACACATGCAAGGTGCTATTTGTATTTCTATTGTGGTATAAGGGTCTTTTACATATGGGTCATTTTTTGGAAAGTTTGACTAATATATCATGCTTATCGCCTACTTCGTTTTTATCAGATTAATTTATTCCTCATTAAAAAAAAGGAAGCCACAAAGAATTGTAGTAATATTGTTTTTATTTGTGCATTTTATGCAGGCAATCCTGTACAAGTGAATCAAACTTCTGTTTCTTCTTATGTTAAAGAACCTACTGCACTCAAGACTACCAAAACAACATAGCCTAATGGCTGCTTTCCTACGAGTATATTGTTGTGGTAAGGACTTAGTCTGAATAGCATATTTTTTTGATCTGATGACCATGGAAAAAAATAAATTGAGGAAATGTAAAGTGTCTGATAGAAAGCAATAAAGTGATTTTGAAATCTTTGACACAGAATAATTTGGCTTACAGAAACAAGGACCCTGAATTTTCTTTGTCTCACAAAACTGCAATAAAAGGGAAGGTTATTTCTTTTTTCCTACCTCTAATTATCTTTCTCTTTTAAGGAGGAGGAAATTAAGTAGTTAGGTGTTTAGTTATGAATTTCTTAGATCAAGAAAAAACATTGATTAAAAAACACTGTGAGGATTGAGTCTGTACCAAAACTGAAAGAATACCTACACCAACGAACTTGTTGGATCATTTTTGCTTTTGCAGAACTTTTTTAAAAAAACAAATAAACAAACAAACTGCTTAGAAGATTGAAAGCTAAAGCAGTTAGTGTCTTTTTAAACAAGTATTGGTGTTAAGGTATTTAGTTGGTCAAGGACTGGAGAGGGTTTTTTTGGTTATAAAGTTCTATGTGGTAATGCTAGAATATGAGGCTAATAATGAGGAAAAAATATTTCTCCTGAAAGCAGGTTATAACAAAATGAATGCTACTTTAAAAATTTCATCTGCACATTTTATACTCGAGTGCAAGAATTGGTTAGAATTATCCAGTTTTATGGCTTTTGCCTCAAATAGTGACCTGTGATTATTGCCATGTCTCCTTTTGGTTGAAGATAAAGATTCTGACAGACTTGTTCTCCTTTTATTTTCTCCAAGGGCTCTTTGAAGAAATTAGAATGTTAAAAATGTTTCATGATTGGAAGCATGACAAAGGGTCAGTAATAACCTCTCTGCACACCCTAATAAAGATTACTGTTCTGTCTGTAGTTTGATAATTTGCCCTAAAATTCTTCAACAAGAGAATTCTTCAGCATGGGCAAAAGTAATGACTAAAATACTTAGTGATGTAATACTTTTTCTAGTCTAATTAGTCAATGTTGCTCGTTGATAGCACTTTGAAGCTCAGTTATCTTGAAGAAAAACATTACTAAAGCAAGTAATTGTAATTTTGAACTCAAAACTATCTTATTTTTCATTGTGGAGCAATGTACACGTACTCCTTTGTTCTTTTTGTTCACAATTTGTAATTTTTGTTAATGGGAATCCAGGAGTTTATGGGAGTCCAGTCAAGTTCAGCAAATGGGGAAGACATTAAGAGTGCAAATGCTCGGGGGTTTTGCAGAAGTGCCTCATGTGATACTTTCTATTCTCAGCATAGGTTAAAATTAGAACTAGACTGACATTGCATTGGAGTCTAAGTGAGAGTTCTAAATGGTTTTGGTAGTACAGACAAGTTTCGTAATTTATCTCTGCTCTTGCCCAGAAAGCAATGAGTCACAGAAGATCCTTGAAAACACCAAATAACCGAGGTAAGCCGTTGTTAAAACTCTTTCAGATGCTTGAAGGGGAAGTTGTTGGCAGATCAGATTACTTTGGAGTAAATTTGCGGTTGCTTTACAGCCACGTTTTGGAATTCACTTCTGAGTTGTTGGCTGTGATGTCATTGTTAATATGGTTTTATTTTCCTGACAAATAATAAGATCTAAGAACAAGAAGCTTTTGATGGTAGTCCTGTTATTATATAATTAAATCTCCTTGAAAACAAAGTCATATACTTAGGCCTTCCTTCATGTTTCATGGTTCTAAAGCAGTATTTATTGAATAATATGTTTTCCACAGCAGAACAGCATTGCGCGGTGTAAGCTTTACAGAAAATAAGTACTGTTTTGACTGTATAGTCCGATACTAGTTTTAGTAGCACAAATATTAACAAATTACTCTTTTCTGCACAATTTATATGAAAAGATTTCTAGTTTTCTACCTCAAAAGGCTTATAGTTCAAAAAAGTCTCTAAAGAACAAGAAATTATAGATCAGGTAAATCACTTAATCTCAGTAGAAGTTTAATCCTGAAAAATAAGGCAATTTAAATTGTAACCACTAATGAGAGCAAAAAACCTCATACATATATATAACTTCACACATACATATTGTGTTGCATATTGGGATGAGGAATGGGAAAGGTAATTACTATGAGGACCACTGAAAGACAAGTTAATCCTTCAATGTAGTAAATGTGATAACATTTAT